TCGGTGAAAGCACCCACTGAATTCAAGAATCTTATAGCATACGTAATGTAATGCATAAGTTATTTGACGCATTTATCTTCTACCTCTTTTCGATGAAGTAGATTTATGTGAACTATAGCCAACCAGCTCACGCGGGCCAAAACAACCACAGAAATAGGTCATTTGCTTTCTAGCGACCCGTAGCATCGGGGAGTCGTACATTTGTTAAAAATGGCTATCTTTCAGGGAATAATTAGTATTACAGTGTCATGTTGCAAAGTCTTCAACAAAATGTTCGATTTGAGCGTCTCCCTTGACACATTAACCAATATGTAGCTAGGTTTCGAAAGTTCTTCGTGGATTGCTTCGAATTGAAGCCTTCAGGGCATTCTACTTGACTGGGTTTTGTGGGTTTCAAAAATGTCTTTTTCGACTGTTCCTTGACAATCTAAATAGTCTCCAGGAATCCTTTTTTAAGGTCATGCAAATTAATCTCTTGGCTGTGGCCAAGGTATAAATAACCTGCAGAAGTGTGCATTTACAGGTCACCTCGAAAAATATGTCACAAGAAAAACTTTGTCAATTTCCAACTGATTTTGCTCAAATTTTGCACACTATTGGGGATAGGGAGTACGCAATTTTTGACGACTCCATTTTTAAGTAGATGATTTTTTTCTGACTTATGGGCCAAAAACACCCTCCAGAAGGATGTTTCTTAGAGGATTCCTCCCAAAACAATTTCGATAGAGTAATTTTGTGAACCAGAACTCTGACAATATTCAAACATAAAAAATATTCTTTCGTATATTTATTGCTATATTTTTGCTTCCGCGAGTAAAAAAATCGGTAATCAAATGGCTGAGATAAGTCGGTTGGAAGTTTCCCAGCATTGGGCGCTGTTGTGGTAATAATGCCAGCAAATCATTATGCCATGCACCCCTGTTAATTGATGAATTAAAAAAAAATTAAAAAAGTTGCAAAATAAAATAAACCGTAGTAACGTTAGAAGTACCTCACCCTGCAATATAAATAAGGATGTATATAATTTTTCACCAATGGTGCCGAATAAGTGCACAACAAAAGTATAAAACTCTATAATTTGGTTCCAATGGTGCATTATAATCGAAATATGTAGGTGTAGAATTTTGAGATTTTTTGCATCAATAGTGTAGAATAAGGCGCAAAATAAGGTTCATAATGATTTGGACATAACTTTGCACCAAAGGTGCGGAATAAGCCGACAAAAGAGATCATAATTGTCATATATTCTTGCACCAAGGGTGCAAAATAAAGGGAAAAGGAGGAAAAGGCCGAATTAGTATGCACCACCTGCGCAGCATGAGAGACCAAGTGCCATATACTTTATGTCAAAATTATAGGATTATCTTTTCCGGACATTGCAACAACTACTCAATAATAAATTCAATTAAAACTTAGTTAATATACAAAGCACAACACTTTACAGGTTTTGGCTCTCTAAGTTCAACACGGGCCGCAAATCCGCTCATCGGGTGAAACACATTTCGACGAATAATTTCAGATTGTTACGAATTCGAAAAATGTGACGAAAAACTTCTAAAACTTTTTAGTGGTATCAAACATACAGCGGGTGGTGATGCAAATAATGGATTATCATTTTAATAGTTTTGTTTTAAACTTTCCGTTACACTTGCTCTCACATAAGAATCTCGTTTTTTCGGGTTTATTTTATTGGAGACTAGACTGAATCTTACTTTCAACTCCCTTAACAATTTTATGTTTCGCCATTCAAATTTCCATTTCGGATGTTAGAAACCCCCGCTTCCTTTCAAGATTTTACACACTAATTTGCCTTATAATATTTAAAAATTGACTTGCGGTATTTATTCAAATTTGAAATGCATTTGTCAAATTTTTATTATCTCCAACGATCTGAAAGCCTCTAGCTAGTTTTAGCACACTGTGCATTCAACTCCTCAAGACAGAGTTCTCAATTAATAAAAAATATTGATATACCGTAGGAATTCATATTTAATAAAAATATAGCTTGAAAAAGTAAATGGTTCTAATTCTAAGGTGAGGAAGTGCACTTAAAAGTACTAAACAAGCTCCCCACATCTCCGCCACCCAGATAATTTTACTGCTACGCTATGTTGTATGTAGATCGCTAAATAATTCTTTATGAGAAGCATACATACCTAACTCAAAAACCTATTCCCAAATGCTATAAAACTTGGCATAATGTCTTTCACGGACGATGGTGAGAGTGGCTGCATAAGATTAGTAAAAACAACTTATAGCAAAACAACTAATAGCCTCTAAAAAGCAGGAACCCCATAAATAATTCTGGGGTATTTATACTGGTCGATTAGAATAATTATTTTTATGACTATTGACTAGATTATGATGATCATGATTTTTATAAAAATTGACTAGATAATGATAATGAATATTTTCATGACATGGCAATATGAGATTTTTGTATGGTTTTGAGACTGGAGTCCGGTAGGGAAATTTGAACCCGGCTCCAGTCAGTCTACAGATAATTGAGTTTTGTGCACATTTTATCTTCCTCAATTTGTGTTTTTGTTGAAGTTTTTGCCTCTCCTCTCCTCCTCTTTTAATTAAATTAACTTGAAGGTCTCCTTTTGTCATTGGTCAAGAGGAGGAGAGGAGGAGGTTCCTTTTGTAAAAGTAGCATCTTTTCTTGTGTGTGATAATCCCGACCATTTGTGAAAATTGCCCAGTGTCGGCTCACCATTCCGAGGGAGAACACCGTACCTCTAAATTGTCCCCTCGTCTCATTTACACTCTTAAATTTTGTAATAGTTGGTTTATGTGTGATAATAAATACGACACTGAAGAGCAACTATTTGTGACCACGTCGCCCTCATTTGCACAGTTTTAACGGTCACATTTACGCCACCATCAGTTACACACAGTCACACATACAAATATATACAGTCCCATCACGCCAAATCTTTACAATACTGGATCCTCACCCGTTTTTTTCTTTCCCGTCAACTGAAAAATTGCGAATTCATATTTTATCCTCCTGCCTCGTATTTTTCATCGGTTGTTCAACTCCATGCGCTTCTCCATTCAGCTTTCCATTTTTTCCTAGATTTGTTAAAAACTTACCTAAAAGAAACGAGAGAGAAAAACGGGGTTTCCTTTACGCTTCAAATTTTTCAATTGATTTCTTCTACCCGCTTCAAATTTTTCGGTAGGTTTTCGATTCCCGCTTTGTATTTCTGTCTTCCATTTTCTCTCATCTTCCTTCCGGCTTCCTCTTTTTCGTCCGTTTTTCCTCCCTCTCAATTTTTTTCTGCCCGCGTCGTCTTTTTATCGGTGGTTTTTCTCCCTCGCAATTTTTTTCTTCCCGCTTCGTATTTTTTTCGGTCGTATTTTTTTCTTTAATTTTTTTTCCCTCTTCCCCGTTTTTTCCTTCCCGCTTCGTATTTTTTTTCTTTAATTTTTCTCCCTCCTTCCCGCTTGTATTTTTTCGCCCTTTTTTCTCCCTCCTTCCCGTTTATTTCCTTCCCGCTTCGTATCTCTTCACCCTTTTTTCTTCCTTCTTCCCGTTTTTTTTCTTCCCGCTTCGTATTTTTTTGCCTTTTTTCTCCCTCCTTCCCGTTTTTCCATCCCGCTTCGTATTTTTTTCTTTAATTTTTCTCCCTCCTTCCCTTTTTTTTCTTCCCGCTTGTATTTTTTCCACCAGCGCAAGAAAGTGGATATTACATAAATGAAAGAATCATCCTTATTTATCATAGCAATCATTTAACAAACTTGTGATGTGAGGCTTAAAAAAGTTAATTGTTGAGGGGATTCGAATCCCCGCACAGAACAAATTTTGCGAGACTTTCGAGGTGCTATCCTGCGAATCTATTAGCAAGATAGCATTTCGAAAGTCTTGCAAATGAACGAAAGAGGTCTGTCCTGGTCTTTTTGTCATGGACGTTCGCTATTTCTCTCGCTGATGATCGCGAGGATGAATCTGCGAAATAATTTTACAAAAAAACAATAGCTGTTTAGCAAAAGCTTTGAGAAATTTTGAAACCTTCTAAAAACTTCGCAAGTTATGCGTAATGTGCGAGATATGCTAATTGACTAATTTAAAATTCGTTGACGCGAGTGCACTCAAAGTAATTTTAAAATTTGTATGATAACTTCCAAATAAGTGTTAGCCAAAGTTGTACTTATTCGTTCCAAACATATTATTTGATACCAAGTACAAAAATGAAACCCATCGGTATTTTTTGTATTTTTTTAAGATTTTGCATTTTAAGTAAGAAAATTGAATATTTAAATTACCCGGTCGGGTAGACCGGGTACTTAAGTCTACCCGGCCGGGTACCGGGTATCCCAAAACAGGCCGGGTATGCCGGGTACCGGGTAACTACCCGGTACCCGGGGCAACCCTAAATAAGTCAGATAATATTATGCTACAACGAGCATTTCATTAAACGTTTTATAGTGCAAAATATAAAATTATTGTGGCATATAAAATAGTTTTAATAGTTTAATACACAATTATTGTGTATTACACATTTAAGTGTATGTATATATAAAATAAATACCTAGCAAATTGTACCAATCTTTAGATGCCGTCCACCGCTGATGTTAATGTCCACCGCGACGAAATTTCATAATTGTATGACATCTGCTAAATATTCTACCTGGAACCAAACATGGAATTTCAAATTTCAGTCTCCGAATTTCCGAAATCAGAAATATTTACAAAGATCACATGGAATGGAAACTCGCACCAAAACTTTGTCTCATCAAATACCATATGTTGTGCATGTAAATCATACTTTTATGTATGTAATTTACATACATAAAAGTATTGCAACGTAATTGCAATGTACGTATGAATATGAATATGTAAATAAATAGATAGAATTGTACACAAAAATTATAAAGTAAAATAGAAATCAGACAAATAAAATATAAGAAGTCAATCAATAATAAATCGCAGATGGTGGAAATTGATTCATCTAGCCATGCAAATATCGTGACGTATGCAAACTTCAATATTATACGGAGTAAGGATTTCAGGATGAAGCTTTATTTAATTTCATTTAGCTAATTTACAACTATTTTACACGTAATATTTTTTGGGTGAATGATCGATCACCTATATTAAAACTAAATCTGATTAGAAATAAAACTAAAAAGCTAAACCTAAAAATTTTAGAGAAATTAAGAGTCATGATGATCAAAATAGGGTGGCTACATTAAAACTTTGATAATTACGTTATCATAATAATAAGTGAGATAATAGATAAGTCAGAAAACGATCCATCATCCTATCCATGGAAGGTCACATTAATTAACAATTACAAATTCTCATTAGTAAGAAACAAATTATACACAAATAACTTAAGTTCGGAACATCATAATATCGATATTTAGTCGTTCATTCTTTAGAAAATCGCTCTTCGAGGGAGGGGGGTTCATGGGTGTGGTAATTGCTGAAGGTCGGTCTGCCCGTGAAATCCTGCGCAACTCGGACAGGACACGTCTTCTCAGCGCAGACCCAGTACGTCCTCCCACTCGGGCGGACGAACTTGTTGGGGCGAAAAATATAATTGTCGTAGACGAGACGATCCGCACCGTTTTTTCGATCCGCGCCGATATACGTGATCCCCCACGAGGCGTGGCGGAGGGGTTCTGAAAGTAATTTGGTAATCGTTTAAAAATAATGTTACCATTTTGAAAATTAAGTAAATGTGCTCTGAATTTTTAATTAAGCAAACTACGAAATCAAGAGTAAACTTTCCTCTTGTCAAGTTAACGATACTCGGGATTTAGTATGGTTTAAAAAATTAAGAAATCAGAGTGCATTTACTTTCCAAAAGGGTACCATTATTTTTTAAAGTGTAATTAATTGTTTAATTAAGTAGCATTATGTTTAGAATATTTTGAAGGCTAACCTTTCGAATCTGTAGCCTCATTTGGCACGCGGAAGGGATTAATCACGTTCTTAATCTTTTTCATAATGGTTTCATTTATAACCCGCTTTTTAACTTTGGGGTTCGGATACTTGGGATTTACGGGTAGTTTTTTCCTCCTCCGTCTAATCGTGGGATTTTTCGGGGTGGGGATCGGACTTATTCCAAAACTGTCGTGATTATCGTCATCTTGAGGGGAAATTGAATTGCTAAAAAATCCGATGCTTTCGTCGTCATGTTCTTGCATGGCTGAAGAGTCGTCCCCTTCCCCCTCGTCGTCGTTACCGTTGTCATACTGAAAACTACCGTTGTACGATTGGTAAAAGGAGGCAGGGATGTTTTCGTCTTCGTCGCAATCGTCTTGGTCGTTGTCGTTAGAATAGTCGTCGTCATCGAATGCTGGGACGTTGACGTCTTCTGGCTCCAGCTCGTACACATTTGTGACGACGGGGGGTGATTCCGGCCCCCAGTCTATGGAGACGCCTTGGTCGCCAATTTCGACTTCGTTGTCTTCGTCGTGGCCTTGTTCTCTTTGATTTTTTACATCTTCTTGTTCCTCATTACTTCCGACGCCACAAATGTCGACGTTGTCACGGTGATAACGGTGGGATCCATCGTTCGGGACGAGGATCATGCCCACGTTGGGGCGAGAAGCTTTGAAGGTTCGGAATTCCTTAAAATCTGAACCTATTATTAGAAAATTGGGAAAATTGAACTTTAAATTTCGAAAATGAACTTATTTTCATACAATTGAATTGTAAATTTGACAGATTTAGGAGTAAAATTAATTTTTTAAAGTGATAAACAATTAATTTTATAACTTTTACCAAATTTGAGCTCGATATATTCATTGAGAAGGTTGAGTTTTTGGGAGAGTTGGTTAAATTGGTGGACCAATAAGGGGTCCATGATGATAACCGTTTTATCCGGGATATGACTTATGTGGTAAGGTAACTCGATAAGTGATTAACTGGAGGACAATTATTTAAGACAAAATAAATTGCAATTTACGATTTGTTTACTTTTACACAAGGTAAAATAAGAAAGTGAGAGGAGCATGAAAAATGCGCTGCGGGGGAGAAGATGAGATTTTTGTGTGTAGGTAAAAATTTTTGCTCATGAGATTGACGAGTAAAAATAAAATTTGCATGCAATTCGTTAAATTTACACAAATTTACGCTAATTAAGGAAAAACGTTAATCAGAATAAATTACTCCCTGGCTTGAAATACTCATTTTTTGACGCTAATTTATATTTACTTGGACTTCAAAATTAAAAAGAAATATTGTTTTAGATTTAGATATGTCGCTGCAAAAATATGACATGGCTTTATTGGTTTTATCGTAACATATTTAACCACCATTTCGCAAACTGTGTAAACTTGTATTGACAGAAATGAAAGCAATTCACGCAATCATTTGTAACTGTAAAATCGGTAACTTTTGTAGTTTTACAAACTTTTACAAAATTTTATGAAATGAAGAGACGCCCTTGATCTGAGCAAGTTTACAAAAATTTGTAAGCTAATTTTTCCCCGAAATATTTGTAAAATTTTGTAAGTTTACATAATTATGGATCTTACAATCCTACGTTAATTGCCTTATTATTTCATACATCAAATAAATTTATGTCAAATGTTCATTTTTGCAAAAAAATGTATTATTGGATTAATGAACAATAATTATTAATGACTCGTTGTGAAACAAATTTGCAGTTTTTAACAAGTAAATAAATACTTTAAACTCCGATTTTAGAATTTTCGTATGCTTTCTTTTTATATTTTATCATCTTTGTCCTCCCGTTAGCGAGATTGTGGTCATGATTTGTGGCAAGGTATCATTATTTTTTAGCTCTCTGTTCAGATCGGCGTGTGTCCTTAAGTGGTTGTGAAGCGAGCCTGTTCCACCCCCTCGGGGACAGCGGTACGATTTTCTGTCAGTAAAAATTATTTATAATCTATTTCCTAATTAATAAATCTACGTAATTACAAATTAAGTGGTTAATTGGCCATACTGGCAGCGCTTGCAAATGTATTTCCTTAACGTCTCATCCCAGTCGAAATAGCCGTAAATTTTTGCCCTCTTCTTTTCCGGAATGTAGGTCGCGGCGTCGTCGTAGTCGGTAGTAATTTGGTTGGCTGAAATTTGAATAACAGTCAAAATTACTAATGCAAATTTGTGTTAATCAATTTATGTAAGTTCAAATTTACCAGATTGAATAATCGATGACCTCTTTCTCTGCAGGATTTCTTCTTGTCGTGTCCGACTCGGTACTAACTTCCGGTTCGGATTCGTTTTTCTTTTATAATTCTGTGGATTACCGGTAAAATTAGCTACGTTTGTAATTGGAAGACTTGACCCTCCGTCTTCGTGGTAGTCGTCGTCGTCACGGTTATCGTCTAGTTCCTCGTCGTCATCATTGTCCCAGTTTATCCCTCTCGCTCTAAGCTGTTCTTCTATTTGAGACGTCGTTGCAGGTTCCGATATCCTGGCAATATTTTTAAAACGTATTCTTTCATAGGGATTCTCGGGGTTGATAATGTCCTCAAAATTGTCCTCAGCAAACGTGTCATCAGTAAAATGTTCTGTTTTTGTAACTACTTCTGTATCATCTTGAATTTGATGGATGTTATTTTTCTTGACGAGAACAATTCCCCCGGAGGGATGGGTTTGCTTGAAATTTTGAAACTCTTTAAAGTCTAATCCTGTTGATGGAAGACCAATTATTAATTTATTAATTAAGTGTTACGCTTAAAAGTTAAATCTTACCAAATTTAAGCTCGATAAACTCTTGGAGGATGTTGAGTTGGACGGATAATGTTTCCACTTGCAAGGTCAAGTGTGTCATGATGACGGTTTAATGGTAATTGTTTAATAATTTAATTAGTTATCTTAAGAAAATTGAGATTTTTTATTTTGTTTACTTTAAAATGTACAGGAATGCAAGGATTTGATATTCGCGCGAGTGGACAAGATTGGTTGAAGGGAAAGAAATTGGTACAGGGTTCGTGAGAAGGTGTGTTTTTGAAAAGTATGCATGGTGTTTTTTGTGTTTAATGATTGATTGTGTGTTTTTTGATATTAAATTAAACTGGATCGTATTAGCTACGTGCATAGGATATGAAATGATATAAATGTAAAGTAATTAAAAATTTAGTTCAATTTGAATCAATGAAAGTGTGTCGAGTCGAAGCATGGTATGAATTTCACACAATCAATTAGATTCCTTGCTTTTTATGATAATGTTTACCAACTAATTAACTAATTGATCGACTGTAATAAATAAGGCTTGTAAAATCATACAAAATCACAACTAATATATTGCAAAAAATCTGTCCGTTCGGAACCCTGACCGAGCTACATATGAACAGTACATAAGATTCATGAAAATGAAGAAATTTAATTTAATTTGCATCATGATCTACGTAATTAAATTCCAAAATTTATCACTGATTATTTATTGCGCGACGAAATCAATGAATAATTTTACAAATTTGATGTTTAATAAAGCAGATATTAAGCCGAAAAGAATCACATTTTCAAATGCGTAATATATTTCGGGTGTTTTAAATCGAAGGATTTATTTCTTAAAGAATGAGTCATTAAATTCTTGCCATTACTAAATTATGTAGCTAATTAATTAGGAACTAAATGATCCAAAATACTTTTTCATGGTAATAAACAACTTTGTACAAAAACTTATAGGTAATAAACTATCTACATATTTCCAAAGTAATTTCAAAATTTCATATAAAACTATGCTACGAGAATTACAGCAAAATCGAAATCGACTTCAAACAAGAAAACAAATGATAAAATAAAATAAAATAAAAAAAATGTGGCTTTCAGTCATCATAACAAATCACAAAAAATTCCATCCCGTCACATAATCCGTTAACTATCATCTTAATTAGTTACAATAAATTTGGGATGGTTATGCATCCTATTTTGAATCGGACGACCATTTTCGTCCTGTGAAATTCTGGCCGGACACTTTTTCCCGACACAAAGCCAGTAAATCCGACCATTTTTCCAGTCATGCTTGTTCACCCGGAAGAGATAATCTCGATACAACATCCTCTCCCCACGCTCAGTCATTTTGTACTCCACGCCAAACTCGGCGTGACGATGGGCCCCGTCTAATAAGAAATTACTAAATTAGTTACTAAATTAAATAATGATTGATTTAAAAAAAATGGAACGGACCATGTTTTATGAACTTCACTGCTGAAAACGAATCCCTCGACATGATCCCCGATGTCACGTTTTGCTTCAACGTTTTTGAAATGTGGACAGTTTTCGCCACACTTTTTCCCGACCCTAATTTTTTTAAGAGTGGAAGAATTCCTCGCATAGATATGAGCGATCTGACCCCACGGGTTTTTTTAGTGCTGCCCGGGATCGGGGTGAGGTCGGGCATCCGATCTGATCGTGACGACCTTGATAAGACCCCGATATTCGGATTGACCGAATCGTCTTCCTCCTTGTGGTGCATGTCATCATCGCCAGTGACGTATTGTCCTTCTTGTTCGTAAACTGGGACATCACGTTCCTGGTCAAAATCGTCGCCCTGGTCGAAATTGTCGCTCATCCAGGAAGGCGACACGGTTTCGGATTTGACGACGATTCCGATATTATCGTTTTGTTCGAATTCCTCCTCGTCACCGTAAAGGGGATCTTGTTCTTCTTCATCGTCATTGTTAATTGTTTCGTCGTATATGTCGCCATTTATGTGGGACTGGTTGAAGAGATTAGATTTCTTTACGACGACGAATCCTCCACAAGGATGGGTTTCTTTGAAGGATTGAAATTCCTTGAAATCTACCCCTAAAAATATGATATAAAGAAATCATGATTAAAAAATAATAATTAATTAGTATGTAGGCTATAAAAGAATTTTAAATTTGCGAAGAATTTACCGAATTTAAACTCGATATATTCCTGGAGGAGGTCAAGCTGTGAAGATAACAGGGTAACTTGATCGCTTAACGAGGGACTCATTATTTAAAAAATGTTTAATTTGGTTTTATGATTTTATGTAATTTGAAATTTAAAGGAGAAAATCAAATTTATGTCAAATTCTGAAATAGAAAGTTGGTTTTTCTATTTTTCCATGAAATGAAATTCAGCGGTGCAGATGGGCAAGGAATTTGTGAGACTGCATGAAAAGTTTGCATGAAAAGGGTGACAGCATTATTTTCATGGAATTGTATGCATGACAAGTTGGAAAGATAGAAACTTTTTATTAATCTTCGAAAATGGTTAATTTTTTACTACAAAGTTATATTTATTCCTCATTTTTACAGAAATTAAGGACTTTTTAGGGAGCGTCCAGAAATCACGTGATCGATTAGAGGGGGGGGAGGGGTCTGAAATTTGTCACCTATTATCACCAAGGGGGGGGGGGTAATGGCCGGCAGTCACGTGACATGCCACGAAAAAATTTTCTTCTAACTTCGGATGTAAATAGTAAATTTGATAATATGTATTTACTTAATCGTTAACCTCTTTTACCTTAAATTCGAATTCGGCGTATTTTTAAATTTTTACTTGACAATCTTATGTAGGTCTGGTTTGTAAATTTCTTACAAATTTCAGTGCACATTCATAGAACTCTCATTATTCTTTCAGATAATAAGTTTACGCAGTTGTCCTTAAGATGTCATGAATGTTAAATTACTCAATATACTTACTGATTAGTATTACATAGTTCTTTCAATAATTTTAAAATTTAATTTAACTGCGGATTTGAAATGGCACAGGAATATTATTTTTGGGTTAATTTGTGCCATGTGTTTTCCTGTCGGAAATAGGTCAGTTTGGCGAAAAAAAATCCGCCACAAAAAATCACACTTGGCGAAAAATAGGTTTAATGTGTATGCTGTCACGTGACCGCGGGGGGGGGGGGTAATGAATTTATCACCATTGGTCACCAAGGGGGGGGGGAGGGGGTCAAAATTGTCCAAAAATCGATCACGTGATTTATGGACGCTCCCTTATACAGCGATAAATTATGTTGTTTTAATTGTTCGAAATCATACTGGTATAGTCATGCAGGTATTGGTTTCTCGGTTTAAAATTACTAACGCTTGGTATTAAAATTTCGTAAAAATTTTCTGCCGGTATGCCAAAACTTAATACCGAGCTATTACTACGCCGTTTTATCAACACCACTTTGGTAGAGACATGAATACCGCTTGGTATTATTTCAATACCAGATTTCTAACAACTCTTAGAAATGTATATGCAAATATGTACATATTTGCATATACAAAAGACAACATTCTTATCCGGATCGTCTCGTCGTTGGACGTCGTGTTGTTCCCTTCAGACCGTTGCAAGTGCACTTAAAGTAAGGCGACCCAGGTCGGCAGGTCCCCCCGGCAGGATAGTTGGCCTCCCGACAGCATGGCGAGCACATGTTCGTCCCGTAAAAAGTGCACTTCCTTTCACATTGGGATTGAGCATGGGAACGAGCTGTAAAATTATTTTTGCATGTTTTAAAATTTCTGTATGTTTTTAGCAAAAGAGTATGGAAATCGAAAAGTTCTATGTATATTCACAATTTCTACAAAAGTAATTATAATCTGGACAAAAATTAATGCAGAGGAATTGTGGAGAGGTCTTGTCCACAAAAATTGACGGTGGGCAAATTTTTGCCCGATTGATTTTCATAATGATAATTTTGTACCCACCAAGACAGAAGATTAGAATTGTGATGAGTACGAGACTCTTGGGAACGTTTTGGAACTTCATGGCTGCTTTCCGAAATTTTACTGACAGCAGTATGAAGGAGTTCTGTTGCAATGCGGACCCTTTTATGGGATCGGTTACAACTTTATGGTGTATGCACGCGGTGTAATTATTGATTTTATATGTGCATGTGTAAATGTGAAATAATTGTTGGGATTGGATTGTACAGATATTGAGACGCAGTACATAAAATTGTCCATTGATAGGGGTGTGAGAAATAGTGTAAAACCAGTTTAGCCTCCAAAATTGGTATGATTTTAAATACAACTATATATGTGAAAACATGTAGAAATCTCTTCTAAATAATTTCTATAAAATTTTGTTATGAAACTTTTCCTCTTGATGTAGATACATATATTACATATGTGGGTGAATTTGTACTTGTGTTGACTTTTTGCAATGTTCTGTATATGTACCTACTCTGCTACGAATTCTTTTGTCAAACGTTTTTTAGTATATGAAAATAACGGGTAATAATTTTTATTTAAAATTTACCACATGGATGCATAATATACCTATATATATTATAAAAATACAGAGTTTCAAAATTTCCTCTTGTGGAGTGCACAAACTTATAAAACCTGACTGCAAATTAGTCGCTCGGATTACGCACGGTTTCCATTGCAGATTTATCTCGAGCTCTGCGTAAATTTAGCAAGGAAAATAGCAGAATTTGCACATGGCAAAAATCATACATACCCCTGGGAGTAAGAAAATGTCGAAGATCTCATCCCCCTATCTCTGTGATGGCTTGGATTAGAACAAGTCGGCAGGAGAACGCGAGACGCTGTTTTGTTCCAGAAAGGGTTACTGTGGAAGACAAGAGTTATACGGACAAAGCTTCCAAACCCACTGAAAAACCTTTGAAGTCCGAGCTATTAAAAAATGTAACTTGGATTTCAAAACAGGTCACGGCTGAGTCATAAGGCGCAAAAGTTATCAAAAATTGGCTATGAGCTCATTTCATCGATTTTATTTGGTCACAAGAAATTTATCCGCAATGGCAGACCTTAATAATCTGAATTACGACTTGTGGCTTAAAATTGAGACCAAGGCCTGGACTAAAACTTCCAGTAGTGCAGAAGTGCTCAAAAAATTTTTTCTCAACGCGTGTGACAAATTCCCACTGGAAACCGTGCGTAATCCGAGCGACTAATTTGCCGTCAGATTTTTTAAGTTTGTGTACTCCAGAAGAGGAAATTTTGAAACTTAGTATTTTTATAATATATACAGGTATGTTATGCATCCCTGCGGAAAATTTTAAATAACAATTATTACCCGTTCTTTTTATATACTAAAAAACGTTTGTCAAAAGAATTCGTGGCCGACTAGGTACATATCAATAAACATATCCAGGTATTCTTGATTGATTAAATACGTCAATCAATAGAAGCTTCAATTTTTATGCATAGCGCAAATTGTACGTATAATTTGCGCAACCTTTGCGTGTAATACGCAACTTGTAAGGAGTAAACAATCAACTTTTTTTAATAACGTATGTACATGCGCGTGGCGTTTTTTACTCAAAACTAAAAAACGTAAATCTGTCCATTCTAATAGATAAGTAATACATAACTATTTTTTAAATGCAAATCTCGGCGAAAATTTACACAACCTTAAAACCCCAGTATTAAAATAACACCAAACGGTATTCATAAATATGTAATCTACCAATGTTGATATCAAGAAATCAATACATCCGTGCATACATATCTACTGTACCAGATTTCCAACAATGTACGCATTTTTTATTTATTTCTCCTCGATGCTATTTGTACAATTCACATGCACACAAACAAATACATATTACACAATTTAGTAAAATAAAATCATTCCTTTTGCATGATTCTCCATGGACTTGACAACCATTCACACGTGTCAATAGCCAAGGACAAAATAATTATTGTTTCATCCCACAACTTGATCATTCCTGGTGATGATGGAGGCCGAAACAAATTGAAAAATTATATGAAAAACCCACTCTTAGAAATCCAGTATTAAAATAATACCAACTTGGTATTACCAAGCCGTATTTATATGTATATATATATGGCTCTACTAAAGTATTATTGACAAGTATGATACCGTGCAGTCTTACATAATAACCCGGTTTTAATCGTCACCAAACGGTGTGCATATGTACATATGCATGTGACTTCACCATACAATGGTTACCTAATGGTGATAAAAATTAAACAAGTCAGGGATAATTTGTCACCATGCAGTGAAAAAAAAATATCGCCATTTGGTGAACTTAAATATGCGTACACCGCGCCGTGACGATTAACACCGGATTTTTAAGAGTGAGTAGTATTTATTTAATTAATTATTTATTTCATAGAATGGAAGCACCCCAGATAATTGGGTCATTAGGTTTCAAGGTAGTACAAATAGCTCTAAAGTTTTACCATATCAGGTGCAAATTTTCATGGTTCGGTGTACATAATTTCCATACAAAGCGGTAGCAGCTTCAATACCGAGAAGTACATATTTACATAAATACTTGCCTGCGATACTCTACCAGATTTCTAACAGTGTGCGGATGCAAAGGCTATATAACTTATCAAGGTTATTTTTTGAACGGGCTTAAGTAATAATTTGCATGATGCAGCATTTATTGCTTGTCCGGACAGTATTGACATACATTATCACATCATATGTAAGTCTGTCACATGTTGCATAAGATATGTACATATGTAAATTCGTACATAATCTGATCGCTGTGACGATGAGTAATTCCTAAATAAAAGTGTGGAGAAGTTTTTTTGTTTGATTTTGTGATTATAAAGGTACATACATACGTTCATGTATATGCTTGCATGCATCCTTACCACGTTTGTATACATTTATGTAACACTCGCACATTTTTTTGCGTAACAGTTGTCTCGTCCGTCCGTGTAAAAATATTTCGCACGAGTCGAACCGAGCTTAGTGTTTAGCTAAACTTGTTCCGTGTTGTTTTGCATATTTAAATATTCACCTCAATTAAAAGAATGGCTCCGTCCAGTACGGGTGACGTTTTGTGTGACCCACTCCGGCAAAAGTTTGTGGACATCCTAAATTCCAACGGGATCTGGGATGAGGTTGACAACGTCGTGATGACCGAGCCCCCCGAGCTGAAGGGGGAGCACATGGCGACAGCCACGGTCTATCTTCGGTACGAGTTCAAGGACAAGGAAGTCAAGGATAAGAATCTATTCGTAAAGAAGTTCACGTCCAATCCGGCCCATACTGCGTTTGTGAAGAAGGGAAGGATTATGGAGAAGGAAATGTCATTCTTCACCGAATTTTTACCAAAGGCAAGAGAATTTTGTGGAAAGTATGCAGGGTAAGTTTGGCAGAGCAGATTTTTCATGTACACTCTTAGAAATTGAAATAATACCAAGCGGTATTCATATTCATGTTTGTATGACTCTACCAAAGTAATATTGATAAGTAATACCGTCTAGCAAAGTAATAGTTTGGTATTAAAGTTTTACCAGATCGGTAGCAAGTTTTTACAGACCGGCATAATTTTAACACCAAGCGGTAGCACCTTAAATGCCGAGAATATGTATAAATATGTATACATGCTTGACTATCTATATCAGATTTCTGGAAGTGCACTTAGGTAATTACCTGGGTTGCGTATTGCAATTAATGTAAAGTTGGCGAATTAAAGTGTTTGCTACCTTTTTAAAAGCATATTACCACATTTCGCTAATTGGACAATTTGCGTAGGTGTGAAAAACTCTTGGATCTTTTCCCCAAGTGTTGGTACGCGGATGAGGAAATGGTCGTTTTAGAAAACCTCGTCCTTGACGACACCTTTATCATGCTGGACAAGGAGGTCAAGCAAGACTTATTCACGGCAAAGTGAGTGAGCAAATGATTTTTTTGATTTGATTTGTTGAATGATGTTAATTTTCTGATATATTGCTTAATTTCCAATTACATAATTTAATATTTCATTGACTCCAGACTGGTGCTCGGGAACCTTGCAAAATTCCATGCCGCAACGTACGCCTTTATTGAAGAGGAATGCGGCGGAAGTGAAAAGTTTGCAGAGCTCTATGAATGCCAATGTTTTGAAGCGTTCATGCAGGAAAATGACCCAATGGTATGCATTCTTGGGAACGTACATAGCAAATTACTATGTATTTACATAAACATGAAATTATTTGTTTAAAGATGGAACCCATGTTTGACAATGGAGCAACAACATGTATTAATTTGCTAAAGGTAACTAAAAACTTTGCAAAGAATCTAAAGATATGTATGAGGGTATTCATAAATAATTACTTTCGTAAATACCATTAGTATCGCAAAATAAGTTACGATAGTTACGAAATCTTGTACGCGTGGTAAGATTCTGTCAAAAAATTACTAAGGTCACAATTTTTACGAAGCTTGACCCCTTTCTTTTTTCATTTTGCGATACGAAGAATACGAAGAAATTATGAATACCCTCATTAATTCTGCGCATCGTACCATAACTACTTACATAATACTCTTGTAAATTAAATCTAATTCTGTCCAATATTTTTACAAGTTTAAAATTGTCACAAAAATTGAACCCTATTAATTTCTACAGGGCCATCCAGTCGAAGGTGACGCCGAGGCTGTCGAAACTTTGACGAGTTACATGGGAAAATCGTATCCCCTCGTGACCTCGATCGTGAAACTGAATCATTCCGAGAAGCTTCTGGTTCTGAACCATGGCGACTTTCACAATAACAATATGCTCTTCAAGAAAGACGCCGAAACGGGTCGAGTGAACGACCATGTCTTCGTAGATCTTCAAATAACCCGGCTAGGATCACCCAACTTAGACATCGGGTATTACATGTACACCAGCGTCCAACCGAAGATTCGGCGGGCGCATTTTATGGAATTGCTGCGCCATTATTATGACACTTTTGAAACAACCGTTGGCATGTTTGGGGGAAAAAAGTGTCCGATAAGTTATGAGGTAATTATTCTTAGATATTTGAGCATATATTATTTTTGACTTGGTTACACTCTTAGAAACTAGTATTAAAATAATACCAAGCGGTAGTCCTGCACGACTCTACTACAGCGGTGCTGATAAGGAATACGGTGTAGTAATAGCTATCAGTATTAAAATTTCACCGTATCGGTAGATAATTTTTTCAGACCGGTATAATTTTAATACCAAGAGACAGCAACTTTAATAACACTAAATCAATCAATACTATCAGATTTCTAACAGTGTAAGTTGTGCAACGTCGTTTTGGTCAATATGCAACAGCGATTGAGGTAAGAATATACATAATTGCAATGCCGAAAGGTAATACGTTATTACGACCGGAATGAGACAGAATAACCTTAAATAGGCAACATACTTATACAAGGTGGTATACGCTGTTAGAAATTTGGTATAGTCAGGCAGAGTTAAGCAGGCATTAAAGTTGCTACCGCTTGGTACTAAAATTATACCGGTTCGTAGAAACTTGCTATCTATATTGTATAACTATTACTACACATATGTATTAACTATGCAAAGAGTCATCAGTACCACATAAATACCACTTGGTATTATTTTCATACCAGAATTCTAAGAGTACATTTATTTACATAATTCGTTCGCACTCAAACAAAGAATTTACCTGTAATTTGCTTTTAGGACTTTGTTGCCGACTACAGAATAAAATCCCAGATGGGATTTTTCACCACTCTTTCCTTCATTGCGGCCATGGGCGCTTTGAAAGATATCGACATGGAAACAATGTCCGAGGATCCGGTCGATATGATGGAAATATTCAATACCGCGATCAGAAATTGGATTGCAAACAATCCCGAGAAGGCTGCCGCCATTGCGGAAGAGGTCGTCGCAGTGGTCAAGGAACATGGACAAGTTAGTGGACCAATATAAAATAAAATTTGTTTTACAAATTTCGATATAAAATTGGAGTATTAATCAAAATACATATGATTAAATATATATGTTCAAAAAATATTTTTTTCATGCAAAATTTATTCACTAATTCAAAATTTGAAAAAGTTATTAATTATGTATTTACAAAAATATTTCTTTATGCAAAATCCATTCATTAATTCAACACTTGAAAAAGTTACATATTTATTCATTATTCATTATTCACTAATTGTTCATTTTATTTCATACTGGGATTTAGCATGACAAAGGAAATGGCTATGAAAATTTATTTATGTTTGTCCCGGAATTTTACAGAAATTAACTTTTTCTTGTGATAATTTTATTTATTTAGATAGTTCCATGCAAATTACACACATATTCATCAGAAAAATGTTAACCGTAGTATCGTCGCGTTGTTGGTGTTGGTCGTCGTGTGGTTATCTTCACTCCGAGGCAGTTGCATGTAATGGCCGCATAACCGGTGTGACAGTACCCACCGTTCGAGTAATGCGCATCCCGACAGCACTTTTGGCAAGCACTTATTCCGCCCGAACATTTCTTGCCGCACTGGTGCGGTTGAGCGTGGCAGAGGGCTGTAATTTTTTGGACTTATTAGACAATATTCGCAAATTCGTAATAATGGCTTCCGAACAGAAAAGAATTTCTACATTTTGAAAGGTGATTTGTTGAAAATTATGTCATCTTTCTGCAATTTCGCCTTTGTAAGAGAACAATTAATTTTGCAATAAAATTAGCGAATTCTTGATAGGTCGAATTTCGTACAAGCATTGAAAGATTTTTTTTTGATAAAGATTCATAAAATTATACAGAACAGAAAATTATGTTTTCAGCAATATAAATAATTCCTATATTTCGAAACTCGACATGTTGAAAATTTTTTCTGCAAACAAAATCTTTAAACAGAAAATTTCGAACTAGTTTTGCAGTAAGATTTGCGAATTTTTTGCAGATTAGACATTGAATAATTTAAAATCGGTTTATTTTATTTGGTTTATTTGTATAATATTTACGAGACAAACTCACCCAAACAAAAGATGATAACTCCGAGGAAGACGAGACTTTTGGGGATTTTCTGTACCGTCATGGTCTTTTAATTTATGAATGGACAACAATTTTCCAAGACTTCGTCACACTTTAGGATCTGGAAACAGTATGAAATAATTTTATGCATCCAGGAAATTAAGTAGTTAATCCAAGTAATTGTGAGCTCCTTGCGTGTGGTGGTAATTATTGGGTTCATATATAAATGTGCAATAATTGTGATAAACATGTATGTGAATTCCACTAAATATGCAGGCACATATATACAATGGGAAATGATATGACCAGAGAACAGATATGTATTTACGAAAAATCTCTGAAATATGTATTTAATGTTTAGGAAAAAAGCCCAAAATATTTAAGAAATATGAAAGAAAAAAAAATATTATGTTTTCGTTAAATTTATATTCCTAAATATGTGCATATGTACAAATGTATGTATGTGTTTTTTGTGCTTGTTTTTTGTGCTTGTTTTGTTCTCATTTTTTATAAATACCTATCTAAAGTATTTACCTGGCTTTTTAAATAATAGCGGAAATATTTGTATGTTTGACAACCTAGAAATATGCAAAATATTTTGGAAATTTTGTGTTCTATGCGACCAAGGGAAAACACCCACAAAGTCCGACAGTTTGTCGTTGTAAAATGAAAGAGTTGAAAAAAGATACATATCCGCGCTCTGAATATGACGAACAGGTTTCGCCTTACATATTTGCATGCACAATTTACTTATGCAAGTAAATATGTAAATATATGTACATACATATATTAAAGTACAAGTATAAGATTAGGGAATTTTGGTCCAGATTTTTTAAACCAAGTTAATTAAATAAATATTATTTTTTCCATTATCGAGATTGTGAGGTTTTTGTATGAATACTCCATACTTATCTTCATAAAGTAATGTCTTCGAGTTTTATATTTTTCTTCATGAGTCACGTGCTTGTGTGCGTGCAACTATCTAAATACGTGCTAATAAATGGTTAAGTATGTCCATAAAAATATACTCATTTTCAGAAAGCCACAAAAAAACGAGGTGGTTATCCTTAAAACTGTCTTATATATTAATCGGCTGGGAGTATCATACTGCCTGTGATGTTCGAACAATTTCTCATCCAGTCCTCATCGTGGCGTCGGAAGTTGAGGGGGGACGTGTGGGGACATTGGAATTATGAGATATATAACAAGAGTATGTAGCGCCATACCTACACACTTAATAATTCGGTGAAGTCACACAGGTAATAATTTCTCGGTAATAAATTTGGTAATAATGTTTTACCACGTAGTATAAATTCGCTACGATAATGGTAAAACTTTATTACCAAGCCACTACCACACGGTACAACTTATCATTACCACTTTGGTAGAGTCATATACTTGTGCTTTTCGGTAATGTTTATTACCAGACTAGCGTATAGCCCGGCCAAGGCCGGGTTCTAGAGTGGGGGGTGTGCCCAAAGCGAAAAATCCGTCATACTATACTTTAAATAATTCGCAGTGAAGACTTTGTCATACTACATACATACATCAGAGTGAGGGTTTGCCCAAATCATACTGCATTTTAATTAACCTGGTCACAGTACAATTTAATTTCCCCCTGTGGGGGTAGTTGAATAGTTAATTACTTAAATTCCCGTCGCGTGGGAGTAACTGCATAGCTAACTATTTAAATTCCCACGCTTCACGCTCCCGTTAAGTTCCATAAACCCCGTTAACTTCTACAATTAACGCCAAGCTATTGACGGATTCGGATTCAGCATCAAAAATACATTCGAATTGATATGCGACATAACGAATAAGCCATATTTGGACACCACGGTCACGGCAAGGTCACGGGGGCCTCGGAGGTCAAAACCATTAATGGCGTTGGATTCAGCGTAAAAAATACATTCGAATTGATATGCCACTCGCTGTGGGTGGAGTTTCTCAAACTAAAATAATTAATTAATAGTGTTTATCAAGATCACTTATCATGATAACCACTATTGATGAGTGATGTATGTATGTATACTACTCACTCACTCAATTTACTTGCACACTGCAAATATACAAAGACATTTAATTTGAGATTGATGGCAAGCGTACGTGAAAGTCACGTGCAGGCGAAGTGAGACTCATGCAGAAAATTCATGCATGCAACCGTTGCTCCGCGTCCTTCTTTGTCTCCTCTACGGGGCAATTTGCATTGAGAGCCACAGGGACCCAGGCAGAACTTAACACTAACGCTTTATGGAAGTAGATTATTTACAGTGAACATACATATAAACATGGACAAGATACGATTTTACAGAATTTCTTAGGAGACAATATGTCCCCCTGTTCCCCTGCTTCCACGGCCAATGTCCAGTCATGGTGGGTGAGAAGGTTGTAGTTTTTTTCATGAAATGCAGTATGTAAACAAGCAAGTTTTCCTTGCCCGTGGCATTTTTTAGATCGTAACTAACATAATTAAGATGAGATTACGAAGAAATGAGACAAAATATTGACGTGTGCATGGACTGAGACCATTTTTTATAGTCAGCACATAATAAATAGGTGCATATACACATTGGGTTTTACATATGAATTACAAGTTTCAGTTTGCATGTTCTCCTTGTACGGAATTTCCACGTGGAAATTTTAACATCCTGTTTTTCATTTAATCCGAGGAAATGGGTTTGCCTACATATGTATGTACAGCTACATATTCGTCAAGAAAGTATGCATCCCGTACATGTAAAATCATCATCACGAAAATAAATTATATGTATTCGAAACTTATTAATTATGGCGTTCGAAATAAATTAGTTTTGGACATTAATATATGTACAGACGGATATTAAGTACGTATTGATTTGTTCATTGGGAAGTTGCTCGTGGATGAAATGATATAGTGTACATAATATGTACATACGTATGTACGTATGTATTTGCATTTACACAAAATGCGCGTTATTACCGGGCATGTGAAGTCATTCAGTTGCATATCGGTATATGCATTTCGGTAGGTAGTGATTCAATACCATTTCGATAAGAGTATACACAAGTCACTATAATAATTGACAACAAGGAACTAAAAACGTGGGAAGAGTTGTTTTTTATGTAAGTAAATACTAATCTGCATAAATATCTGCATTTCCTTGATTTCGTGGACATATTTACATACGTAAAAATGTGAATTATGGATTTTTGACCCTCAAATAAATTAAAAGCGAAAATTCGTCACAATGAAATCTGCAGAGATTATTCACTTGACAGAGCTTATCCTCTACGCACGGATCGTCCGTAGCGCCACGTTCCCGCCAAAATTTATGACCACGCCGGACTTCTTCTCTGAAAAATATGTCCTTCACTTCGTCACAGTTTCGGACAGAGATGCGTCCAAATTTTTTCGGGATGTTAAGAATCCCTTACTTATCGAGACAGGTGGGCATGACATGACGAAGATAATGACACCATACCCATCTAAATCCTCCCCACAATTTATTTCCATCCTGCCATCATCATCACATAACCTGCCAACAACCCAACTCCTGACAAATATTGTGAAAGGGATCAAATCAAAATACATCTTCGCTGATGTATCCAGCCTTCAAAAACTATCTGAAAAGCACTATGCTCACGTAATTCTCAAACTCTTAGAAATATCGGTATTAATCCTGTACTCGATAAGTAAGCAGGACAAAATCGTATTTTACCTTAATCAAATTACCCGTGAGGATATTCGACTCGTAAGTATTTATTATACCTTACCTGTTCACATTCATTTATTTTTTAATTCAAAAGGAACTAATTATTCATTTGTTATTCAGTAAATTCATGTATATTGAATGAATATTTTTTTCGAATTTTTTGAGTGAGTGAATACTTAATGAATATAATATTTAGTCGTTTGATACTCATGAAGAATGAAGAATTTTATTCATTATTCATTTTTCACGCTATGGGGTATATTTCGAAATTCATTTAATAAAGGAGATTTGAGATTAAATGAATAGAAAATGAATAAGTATTTATTTGCATACCTTAAAATTTTGCATAAATGATTAAGGAATGAATATTTTTTTCAATTTTTAAACTGAATGAATTTTGAATGAATAATTTTTTTTTGATAGGTAAGTATAAGGGGAGGACACGGAAGTATCACCCTTGTCGAATTACAGGCGGCGTGGGACAAAATAAACAAAAATCTACAAGGCAGCATTCTGGTTGATTACACACCACCGGATCGTCCCGGGTATTTCCCACATTGGGGAGATTGCGCTCGCAGTATTTACCGCTTGAATCGTCAAGGAGGTCAAATCAAGTATTGCATCTTCTCCGTTTTGAAAGAAACCTATAACGTTACGACGCTTCCTATCATGCGCGCAAAAAACGCGGGAGTTAGGATTGGTTTTATAGAATTCAAAATACTGCTCAGTTCGGACAGGTTGCATCTGTTTAGTGGAATGTTTCAGATGGCCCTTGACAACTTTGTGTTCGCCGTTACGACCAAGATCCCATCTTCTCCGATTGGCGGGAATGATGATGTTGGCGCGCTTTTCTCACCCTTTAATCGGTTCACGTGGTCTTGTCTGCTATTATCTTGCGTTCTTATCGCGGGTCTAAATATGTACCGAAATCGGGAACATAGTTTGACGCCCGTTATTTCGATAGTTCCCGAGTTTGTATCCATGATTTCCTTATTTCTTGGCCAACTCGGATCCGGGTTGGACCAAATATTTTACCGGGAACAGGTCCCCATCTCATCAATGACATTCTGCTTTTTCGGGGGATACATTTTAATGGAAAATTTGTACAAGGGAGAAATTTTTGCTGTTTTAACGGTTCAAAATCTTCCCGACGTGCCAAAAACGTTTGAGGACCTGGTTAAATCGAATCTTTTGACCGTTACGAACACAAAGATGCACGTAATGCCGGAATCTACTATCGGCATGGATTTACCCTGTATGATGAATTATAAAATAATTCCAGAGGTTTCGGAAACATTGGCGACAAAATTTGACAGCTTGATGGCGCAATTTCATCCCAACTTGAAATGCATTAACCGTTTGAATAACACATTTTTCGATCATGTGTCAAAATCTAAGCCATATTTTGGCGGTAAAAACTCGACTCTCCTCGCGGTTCACGAAACGTTCGCCT